CCCAAGGGGACACTGGGCTAAAGTGTCTGAAGGTGCTGGGATATGGGTGGTGCCTGGTGAGGGACCAGTCAAGCCTCATGCTTTGGGGCTGAGTGAGGGGTGGTGGAGGCGCTGAATTTCAGTAGCTTCCCTAGCAGTTTAACCGTATGGGGTGATAGGCCAAGGGCCAGGGCCAGGGAAGACAAAGCAAAAACCCAGAGAGGTACAAAGACAAGACAGAGCACTACTGGGGAAAGGACAGGCAGAAACATTCATCTGCCTGGGAGCCAGCCTAGGGCAGGGCCTGAGCTTTGCTGTTTCCCTTTTCGCCCTTTCTTCCTGGCAGCTCTGTGTGAGTGTGGCCGGTACAGGAGGTGCCCAGGCATGGTTGGCTCTCCCTTCCCAGCCCACTAACTCCTGAAACAGGTGGGTGGTTCTGAAGCCCCATGGGAAAGCCAGTCTTTGTCAGAGCATCAGGAGAGGAGCGACCTATCCCCCCACACTTCCTACAACCCACCCCCCACTGACTCTCCTGGGCTCAAGTTGAAAGTCTCATCTGGGGCGATGGGCCACATTTGGGGTAAGGGAAGGTGATGCAGCGAGCCCAGAAATGGAAAAAGAGATGGGGCAACTAAGTCAAAGAGAGGAGCTATCTGGCCTTGCACGGGGTACATGTGTGGGTTCCATTCTTATCTGAAGCACAGGTGTTGAAGAGAAGTTTGGGAGTGAGCAATAATTGGAGATAGAGAAGACTTGGGAGGGGAAACTGGAAGTATTGAGAAAGGGAGAAAGGAAGAAATGCTAATTAAAAGATAATGAAGAAAGAGAAGGTACAAAGAAAGATAATATGAGACAATTATATTGTGTCTGGGGAGCCCCTCAATGGGGCCAACAGGAAGGCAGGAGGTTAGCATACACCCAGATGTGTCTCAGAAAGGCTTGGCGGTGGCCTGCCCCCCAAACTTAGCCAATGAAAAAACCCGGGTGGCACAGTTGTCCACGAGGTGGTTGTGGGTGAGTGTCAGCTCCATGACAACTGGTTTCTATACCACTTGGCTTGTGCCCTACATCAGTCTAAGCACGTGACGGCTATGCGATTATTTAATCGTAACAACAACCTTGTGGTCTGGGCCCATGACTATTCCCGTCTTACATGAGAGGAAACTGAGGCATGGAGAATTTCAGTAGCACATCCAAGTTCCCCCAAGGAGCTCCCGTACCACAGTGGCTTATGGCAGTTCTCACCCACCAGCGCCACTCTGCCGGAGAAAGGCAACGCTTTCTGCTCCCTTAAGGATGCACAGCCTCCGGGCGGGGCAGTTCTACCTTGTCCTATGGGGTCGCCATGAAGTGAAACAGAACCGTGAGGCCAGGGAGGTTTTTGCTTTGTTTTGATTTTTCAGTTTTGATCATTCAAGTCCTCATAGCTAGCCAAGTGCGATATCCATTCCTAAAGTCTGGCTGTAGACCCTGTGCCCCTATGATATTACATTGTGCTCTTTTCCAGAGGGGCAGGGGGGTGGTCCCAAAGTTACCACAGAGACGCATGGAATTCTGACAGAGTGGACATTGAACACCAGTGTAGCAGCCTTAGGGCTTTCTTTCATTTTGATTGTATTGGGTCAAGAAAGTTTTGATTCACACACACACACACACACACACACACACACACACATAAAAATCAACTTTTTAAAAACAGCTGAATCCTCTGTTAGGTGCCTCTTATATTGAATAGCAACAGGACAGCCTCCGCATTTGATTTCCTTTCGTTTCATTTTGATTGTATTTGGTGTAGAAAGTCCTGATTCACACACACACACACACACACACACACACACACACACTGATTTACAGTGTCATTAAGAAAAAGATCATGCATTTTCCCCACAGACGTTCTGAAGCCTTTTCATGCATGTGTGCATTATGTACGTATGTATGTATATATCTGTATGTATGATTGTTTTTAGGTGTTGACAAGTGAATTCATGCCCAGTGACTCATAGAAACTCCATATGACAGACTAGAACAAGATTTCCAGGCTGTTATTTGTATGGGAACAGCTCTTTTTCCCAGAAAGCCACTGCGTGGGTTCGAACTGCCGACCTTTCAGTTAGTAGCAGAGGGAGAACTTTACCTAGATCTATATGATGGGGTTCAAAAAGTTTGTGGAAAAAGGGAATAAAAGGCTAATGGAATGTTCCCACAAATGTTTGAAGCCCCCTTCTATTTCTCCAAGGTAGCGGAGAAATACAGTCATTTCACTTCCGTTCCCTGGCCTGCAGACTTGGAATCATAATTCATACTTCACAGGAGCTACCTGCAGATTCAATAAAATACCCAGCCCGCTGCCTGGCACACTAACCAAGCCCACTGCCATCCAAGTCTGTCTGACACACAGGGACCCTGTAAGTACTCCTGAGCTTGCAGACTATAAATCTTTATGGGAGCAGACAGCCTCATCTTCCTCCTGCAGAGCAGTTGGGGGGTTTGAACTACTGCCTTTAAGGCTAGCTACCGAGCCCTTTCACCACACCGCTACCAGGGCTCCTTTGTTGGGGAGGAGGAAGCTCACTGCTTGTAGTGACCGGAGAACCACTCCTTTGTGTTTCTGAGCCTGTAACTGCAGACTTGGGGTTGGCAGCCGGTTGCATCACCCACTAGGACACCAGGGCCCCTTTGCTTAAGAAGGGGTCAGCATGTTGGTGGTACAGGGGCTAGAGTGCTCAGCTGCCCACTGAAAGGTCACCAGTTCAGAGCCCCCAGCAGCCCCGCAGGAGAAAGACGAGGTGGTCTGTTTCCGTGAAGCATGTACAGCTTTGGAAACCTGATGGGGCAGTTCTACTTTGTGCTACGGGGTCGCTGGGAGTTGGCACCGACTTGATGGCAGTGAGTTTGGTTTTGGGTTTTCTCAGCCTAGGAATCCTCAGACCATTATTCACATTGGGGGCTCGGTTTGTTGGCACGTCCCTGGGGGTCATCTGGAGCATTCCTCTGAGCGGGCATGCCCCCTGCCTGTGTCCCCCTCCGCCCTGCGCTCCCAGCCCTGAGCCAGAGCAGAACAAACCAGCAGGACTGAGGGCGAAGGAGTCCATGAGGAGTATGCCCTGGGGCTCCGGACGGCAGGTGACTCTTCTCTCACTCCCTTTCTCTTGTCCTCTTTCTTCCTAGGACACTTGGAGACCCAGTGGGCAGGCGAGGCAGGCTGGGCACGGAGCTTCCCAGACTGGGGCAGTGGGCATGGGCTGTGCCTGTGGCTGAAGATCAGACCCCAGGGGACCCTGCCACGCACACTGCCTCCGCAGCCGCTGCCATGGCCACCAATAAGGAGCGACTCTTTGCAGCCAGTGCCCTGGGACCTGGATCTGGCTACCCAGGGGCTGGCTTCCCCTTTGCCTTCCCAGGGGCACTCAGAGGGTCTCCACCCTTCGAGATGCTGAGCCCTAGCTTCCGGGGCCTGGGCCAGCCTGACCTCCCCAAGGAGATGGCTTCTCTGTGTGAGTCTCAGGGATTTGGTGTGTGTGGGGTGTGATGGTGGGGGGAGGATGAGGGCAAGTGGACACAGGAGGACACTTGAGAGGGTGGGTGGGTGATACAGAAACCTGGCCCGTCAGTGCGAGAGGAAGAGACAGGGTTTAATGGAGAAGGTGGTGAGGAGTGAGGTTTGGATATAACACAAATGGCAATGTTTACAAACATGGGGCCTCCTGTTCAAATAGGAGGGGGAAGTTATAGGAGGTCTAAAATTGGGGATCTAGAAAGTCCAGTGGGTTGGAGGTTGACGTTTCCTCCTGAGTCAGTCACCCAGCAGAGAACACCTTGCTGCGGGTGGCCCAGGGCTGATCTGGTGAAGTTTGAGGCTGCTCTGCGCTCAGCATGCAGTAGAGGGGTGGGTGAGGCCAGACTGAGAAGTAGAAGAATCTGGAAGCCATTCAGGTGATCCTGTGATCAAGAGGTGAAACTGTTGAATTAGGAGGGTGTCAAAAGAAAAAAAACACACCTCATGTTAGGCGTTCAGAGACGTGTGGGGCCAGGAGACTCTCCCCTTTGGTTCTGGGGAGAATGGAAACAGCCCACAAAGAAGGTGGCTCTTGCACCATAAATAATCTGGGGCGGTAGAGAGGGTGTTCCAGAAGCATCGTTTCCTCCAGCCATGTAGGTACTATACTCTTCCCCGCCCTTCAGGGCTGGCAAATCGCCCACATGCTGTGCAGATCCCTACTTGTCCCCCTAGAAGCCTGCCCTCTTTGGGCTAAGCCTGTAATGCTGACAGCCCAGGCCAGGCTTCCCCTTCTCAAGGTCCCCTCCCCTCCCACTCTGTACTTCTTCCTCCTGGCCAGGCCACTGCTGGTGGGGGCACCCGAGACCTGGAGGGTCCACCCGCCGGGCTCTGTAGTGTAAAGAGTTGGCTGTTGAAGAGCAGGCCGCACTTGGGAAGACAGCAAGGTGACTGGGAAAGAGATTGAGACTGAGATTGAGAGAGAGAAACATTTCCAGAGAGATCTGGAC